GAATGGTTCGTAAGAAATCAAATTTCAAAAATACGCCTTTTATTAATTTTGATTTCTAAGAAACTGTTCGGCCGATTTCTCTCAAATTTTAATGAGGGCGACTTTTTTTTTTTTTGCTTTGTACACGGAGCAAAGTTCCTTAAAATAACGCACAAGAGCTTTATGTTGTTAAAATTTAAGTTGATTTTTATACAATGGCATTAAAAATATGGAATAAATTCCTGTACAGTTAATTCTGTCAGCAAGTACCAGAAAAAAAATCTTTACTTTTTGTACTTTGTGATGCTTTTTTAATTCAGCTTTTATTTAAAACTAGTTTAACGATGTTTAAGAAATAGTATCAGAATTTTTTCCACATTTTCTTGCTTTTTTATTAAAAAAATCCTACTTGGTTGATAAATAATCTACAGCATCCGCTGACGCGTTAGAGGCCGGACGTGTGCTAACTGGACGTATCAACAAAATTATCAAAGCATACATAGAAGCTTACTACATCTAAATAAGCATATATTTGAATTCGAAACCACTTTTGTCAGTATACTGCCATTCAAAATGGTACAATTAAAGAGCTAAAGTTCGATTTTGCAGATTATTCTCTACACTGAAAAATAATTTCTTTAAAAAAGCTGGAAGAAAAGCAAGAATCTGTTAAACTTAGTAAGTTTTGTTCAAATGCTCATGAACGAGCTTCTCCTTAACAGATTTACGGAAAATAAAGGTTTTAAAATATACGAGATAAGAATTTGTACAAGAATATGTTCCTTGCACTTAGTAAACATAAATGTCTAACAATAAAATTTAAAATTATTTTTTTTTGTTAATTTGTAAGAAACATGAAATAGTTACCGAATTTACTCAAAATATCACAAAAAGTTTCGTAATATGTTTCTTCGTTTCATGGTTCTTGTTTATCAACTATTAAAGAAAAATATATTAAGTGTGCAATCTTTCAAAAAGAAATTATTCGTTAATTAATTATATTTGTATAAGTTGTTTTGTAATAGTAACAGGATTAAAATTTTATAACTTTTATCGAAACATAAACAAAATAATTGAAAAACGTTTGTATTTTTATAAATTTTTATGGTATCTAAAATTTATTGTTTTTCTTAAAGTATTTTTGAAATATTTAATTCTATTGGCACTATTAATTTTGGCAAATATAATTTTTAAGTTGATTTTTCAAAATTTATAAAAAACCTAAAATAGTAACAGAATTTAAGTTTTTTTACTTATTCAAAACATTATAAAAGTACTTTAATTGAGATAGCGTTTTTATGCTATTTTACAATGATGCGACTTAATAAATATAATTTTTAGAAATAAAATGTGTGCTTAAAATATGATATTTTAAAAAAACATTATTCAAAAATTATATTTTTAAAAGTTTTTCTTAAACTTAATAAGAGACCAGAATTGGGTTAAGACTATCTGGATTATGTAAATCGTAAAATGTATGTTTTGTTATAAAAAAGTTTCTGTATTCATGCTATTTTCTTTTGATAGTACTTGAATTTTATAATTTTCCTCCCAAAGTATAAGTAAAATGTAAAGTATAACTGAATAAATTATGTAAAGTAAAAATAAATAATAAACTAAATTATAATGTAAGATAAAAAAAAATAAATAAATGAAAATTATTCAGCAATTATACTTTTAAAATGCCTTTTCTTAAAAATTAAACTATATAAATTTATGGTAAAAAGAACTGACACTCAGGATTCCGTTGCTTTTTACCGTAAAATTCATTTTTACCGGATTATGTTACGAAACAAGAAAATCTGATAAACCGTAATATTTACAGTAGTTATTACCGTAAAATCACTGAATCACTCTAAATAAATAGATATTACTGTAAAAATGACAATATAATATTTTCTGGTAAAAATAGATTTGTGGTAAAATTTAAAATGGATTTTACGGATGAGCACGGAAAGTGCTGGTACTTTATACCGTAATTTGATTCGGAATTTTTCAGTGTAAACCATGAAATGGGTTTGCAAGAAAATACCAAATGATAATTAAGTAAAGATTTCCAAGAAGTTTAATATTTGAATCTATTCTGCCTGTTCTTGTTTTGGATTATTTCTTCAATTTTAAACTNGTTGTGGCATTAGGAGTACAGTGTGCAAAAAAAAAAGGACAACCTTGAATAACTTTTGATTTGGGGATCCGATCTTCACCTTCTAGGACTCAATCTTAATGGTTCGAGATGCTGATCTGAATTATGCTAATTAATTAGTGCTGACGCTATTCAAGTTATGAATTCCTATACAAAAACGTAATTTCTCTGAATAAACATATCTTTTTTTCGACGGATTTGTATTTTTGACCCTTTAAATATAGGGGGTATCAAAATACAGGGTCATATCTCTAGAACGTTTCAAGCGAATTTGAAAATATTTGAACACAATTATAAATTTATTTATCCAAGCATAATTCCATGCAAAAAAATAACTTTTAGATAATATTTATTGTTTTTTTATAATTTTGCTTAATAATAGTTGAAAAATATGGTTAATTATAATTTATATCATTTTAAAGAATGTAATTTCGCTGGCAAAATACAAAATGTGAGTAAAATCGATAAAATAGTTAGTAAGAAATCAAATTTCAAAAATACGCCTTTTATTAATTTTGATTTCTAATAAACTATTCGGCCGGTATCTCTCAAATCAGGGAGACTTTTTTTTTGCTTTGTACATGGAGCAAAGTTTCTTAAAATAACGCACAAGAGCTTTATGTTGTTAAAATTTAAGTTGATTTTTATGCAATGGCATTAAAAATATGGAATAAATTCCTGTACAGTTAAATCTGTCAGCAAGTACCAGAAAAAAACTTTACTTTTTGTCCCTTGTGGTGCTTTTTTAATTCAGCTTTTTAATTTTTATTTAAAACTAGTTTAACGATGTTTAAAAAATAATAGCAGAATTTTTTCCACATTTGCTTGCTTTTTTATTAAAAAGAACAAACTCTTAGTTGAAAAATAATCTACAGAGTCCGCTGACGTGTGCTATCTATCAACAAAATTATCAAAGCATACATAGAAGCGTACTACATCTAAATAAGCATATATTTGAATTCGAAAGCACTTTTGTCAGTATATTGCCATTCAAAATGGTACAATTAAAGAACTAAAGTTCTATTTTACAGATTATTTCCTACACTGAAAAATAATTTCTTTAAAAAAGCTGGAAGAAAAACAAGAATCTGTTAAACTACGTAAGTTTTGTTCAAATGCTCATGAACGAGCTTCTCATTAACACATTTACGGAAAATAAAGGTTTTAAAATATACGAGATAAGAATTTGTATAAGAATTTGTGCTTACACTTAGTAAACACAAATGTCTAACAATAATATTTAAAATGATTTTCTTTGTTAATTTGTAAGAAATATGAAATAGTAACCAAATTTACTCAAAATATCATAAAAAAGGCTTTAATGAAAAAAAAAAGTTTTGTAATATGTTTTTTCTTTTAACGGTTCTTGTTTATGAACTTTTAAAGAAAAATATATTAAGTGTACAATCTTTTAAAAAGAAATTATTCGTTAATTGATTATATTTGTATAAGTTGTTTCGTAATAGTAACAGGATTAAAATTTTATAACTTTTTTCAAAACATAAACAAAATAATGGAAAAACGTTTGTATTTTTATAAATTTTTATGGTATCTAAAATTTATTATTTTCCTTAAGGTATTTTTGAAATATTTAATTCTTTTGGCACTATTATTTAACAATTATAATTTTTAAGTTGATTTTTTAAAATTTATAAAAACCTAAAATAGTAACAGAATTTAAGTTTTTTTATTTATTCAAAACATTGTAAAAGTACTTTAATTGTGATAGCGTTGAATTTTTTATGCTATTTTGCAATAATGTTACTTGATAAGTATACTTTTTTAAAAATAAAATGTGTACTTAAAATATGATATTTTTAAAAAAACATTATTCAAAAATTATATTTTTTAAAGTTTTTCTTATACTTAATAAGAGACCAGAATTGGGTTAAGACTATCTGGATTATATAAATAGTAAAATACATGTTTTGTTATAAAAAAGTTTCTGTATTCATGCTATTTTCTTTTGATAGTACTTGAATTTTATAACTTTCCCCCAAAAGTATAAGTGAAATGTAAAGTATAACTGAATAAATTATGTAAAATAAAAATAAATAATAAACTAAATTATAATGTAAGATAAAAAAAAATAAATAAATGAAAATTATTCAGCAATTATACTTTTAAAATGCCTTTTCTTAAAAATTAAACTATATAAATTTATGGTAAAAAGACTGGCACTCAGGATGCCGTTGCTTTTTACCGTAAAATTCATTTTTACCTGATTATGTTACGAAACAAGAAAATCTGATAAACCGTAATATTTACAGTAGTTATTACCGTAAAATCACTGAATCACTCTAAATAAATAGATATTACTGTAAAAATGACGATATAATATTTTCTGGTAAAAATAGATTTGTGGTAAAATTTAAAATGGATTTTACGGATGAGCACGGAAAGTGCTGGTACTTTATACCGTAATTTGATTCGGAATTTTTCACAGTGTAAACCATGAAATGGGTTTGCAAGAAAATACCAAATAATAATAATTAAGTAAAGATTTCTAAGAAGTTTAATATTTGAATGTATTCTGCTTGTTCTTGTTTTGGATTATTTCTTCAATTTTAAACTACACCTGGAATTATATTTACGTACATTAAATAACATATTAAAAACTTGCATGAAAATACAGATCAGTTAATGTTAAGTTTTTTGAATATTGTTGCAATAAAAAATCTGGACCATTAACCGGAACTCCATTACGAATCATTTAATTTTGTTTCACTGTTTTTTTTTTAGCTTGTTACGTACAATACGTGATTATCAAAGAGAATTGCAGCTGTTAGTTTCCCCATCATTGCTTTTCATAATATTTAGATATAATTTTAATTCTTAAGATTTTGACTCTTCCAGGTGCTGATATGGGGGAACTTTGAATCGAAACATGTAATCTTTCTGGTATAAATACGCACCCCATAACGTTAAATGGCACATTTGAGAAATTACTGGCAACCGAGTAAGTAATTCAGCTTTCTATCATCTTAAAACTTAACATCTTATAAATGTATCTCAAAACTGGATATTATGGCATTGTCAATGTCATCTTCTATGACAATTTATCATGATTAATTTCCTGTAACAATCATTTATTACGTGGTAATAATCATGATTAATAATCATAATTATTACGTGGACTTGAAACTATAAAAATATGCCAAAATTTCTAAGCTTATTTTCTTATTATTTGTAATCATTTATTAATATCATAAAACTGTTGAGGTTTTAATTTTGTTCATTCTAATGTTCGTAAATATTTCTAATTTTCATAATTAATATCTATGATTTTAATTTTTTTTTATCTAATGTTCGTTACTATTTATTGATATTATAAAACTGTTGAAGGTTTTAAATTTTTTTTTTGTTCTAATGCTCATAAATATTTATGATTACCATAAAAAATATCTAAGATTTTAATTTTTTTTATCTAATACTTGTAACTATATATTGATATTATAAGACTGTTTGAGGTTTTAATTTTGCTTCTTCTAATGCTCTTAACTGTTTATAATTATAATAAAAAAAATTTAAGATTTTAATTTTTCTAAATCAAATATTTGTAGCTATTTATTGATGTCATAAGACTGTTTAGGGTATTAATTTTGTTTCTTCTAATGCTCCTATTATTTTATATGAAAGTAAATGTAAGTCAATAGCTAATCTGATTGCTTATAGTAATTACTTTTGCAAATTTAATCAATTTCACTTGGTTCTAATTCAAAATTGTTAAAAAAGAAAACAAAAGTTTCAATATCAAGTTTATATAATTTATAAAAATAAATAAGCAAATATTATTTACATGCTATAATGTTTGTGTTATTATTAATAATTACTTGTTCTTACTTGTTACAAGTAATTATTAATGTCTACTAATAATTGCATGTTATTTTTAATAAACATTGAATATTAAAATAGACCAACAGAACAGTCGTGTTATTTATAGAAATAATTATACAATTTTTTGCTATGTGCAATTAATTACAATTCGAACTTGAGCAAGTTGGACATATTTGTAGCATTTTTATAAAAATATTAAAGTAATATTAACACCAAATTTATATTATTCATTATATGCAGAAATATTGTCATTTTTAATATGTTATATATATAAATATTGTTATTTTTCAATTTGTTATTTACAGAAATAATTATTAAAATGATTATTTTTATTTTTTAATATGTTGTACAGAAATATAATTATTTTAAAATTTTTTATTTACGGAAATAATTATACTATTGTTTATTAAGCGCAACTGATTACAATTCAAACTTGTACAAGTTAAAAATTTCTGTATCGCTTTTATAAAAATAATTGATGCATTACTAACTTCAAATTTATATTATTCAGCAACAAGCTCAATATTTTGTCTTTTTATAATTACAAAAGCAAATCTTTATAAAGTAATTTTTCAGTAATTCTAACTTAGTCCAATTAGAATTTAACTAAGAAAGCTAAATGGTACAACTGTTATATCAAGAAATCGTAATCGTTCATAATAATTACTTTCAAACACACTTGAACAATTTAAAAGTCGTTAATTTTATAATTGATATAATATTAACATCAAACCTTATTTTCTGCAACAAGCTCAACATTCTAATTCTAATTACGTGATCTTTTGATAATTCAAATTTATTCCAATTTGAATTTAATTAAAAACATTAAATGGTGCAACTATTATAAAAAGAAATTATAATCGCTTATAATAATTATTTTTAAAGACACTTTAGCAATTTAAAAATTATTACTTTTCTAATTGATGTGATATTAACATCAAATTTATATTATTCAACAACAAGCTTAATATTTTGACTCTTACAAAGCAAATCTTAATTACGTGAGTTTTTGGTAATTCCAACTTATTCCAGTTTGAATTTAATTAATAACTTTAAATGGTGAAACTGTTATAACAAAATTTTATTGTTCATAATAATTATTTTTAAAAACACTTTCACAATTTAAAAATCATTACTTTCAACAGAAATATCAATTAATGTCAATATAAATAAAAATAATGATTAATTCATCTAAAGTTGTTTCTATTTTATTTTCAGCGCCATGAAGTTTCTCGCGTTGCTTTTCCTTGCGGGCTTAGCCCTAGCAGCCGCTGTACCAGTTCCAACTCAAAACGGTAAGGTTTTAATCTTGAGTTTTAATTTTTTAATGCTGTTAAAATGTCAAAAGGAAATTTATGAACATCAAATTAATAAATAAATATCATAATTATAAATATCCACCAAAAGATTTTAGCTAAAGTTAATGAACATCAAAAATTTAATAAACCTTCTATAACTACAGCAGTTTGAGAAAATGTTTCTCGGTTATACATCTTTTACCTATTTAATATAGTGGGAAAAATACCTGTTGTCCGAAAAATGGCCGATGAATTTAAAAATCAGTTAGGCTTATCAGTTGAAAATTTGGAAAGAATAAGAACATTGTTTCCTGAGCAGTATGCAGCAAACTGCTAGTTTCTAGATCCTTCCATAATGGAGTTGTCAAATTGCAAAGCGGAGAAAATAGTTCAAAGCGTGACTCTCAAAGTGCATGACCGCGAAGGAGAGAATTTAGTATTTATCCATTATAAATTACTCATCAAATGTTATAAATGAGTCATGGTGGCTCAGGGGATGGTGACTCGATGGAGGTCACTTGGGGTCGAATCTCAGTGATGACTAGTCGATACGAATTCCGTACCCGTTTCACACCGACCGCAGTGCTGACTTAAAATATTCTCATTGGCAGACGGATCATGGTTTAGAGTCCTCTTATGGTCAGGCTAATCATGGGAGGTTTTCGTGATATTGATCACTATGTAACACAAATGCGGGTTAATTCCACTAAAAAGTTTCCCACAAAGACAAATTTCTCCCAATACTTGATCCAGGAGTTCCCTTGTCTTCTGGATTGGATTCAAAATTGCAAGGCTACGGAGTTGTACATTGGTAGTCGTAATCTTTAAATTGGGTCGGATTTTAATCGACGGTTATAAAATAAAATGTAATGTAAAAATTATAGGATAATTATTTGGTATGATCATGTATTTTCCTTTAATAAGGCATAATTATAAGCGAGTAAAATATTGTAGAGCTAATTCATAATACAACGAATTCCAATATAGGTATTAAAAATCCATACTTTAAAAAAATTTTTTTTTGTAAAATTTAAATATAACTCTTATTTCAGTTTAAAAATTATGATTAATATTTTACATAATATATTTTATAGACATATTTAAAAATATTAATATAAGTTTAAGCTATTGTACTTTATTTTAATATTTTTATTCCTATTACTTATCTTCTTTCAAAAAAAGTTATTAAAAGCTGTCTACTGTTGAATAAAAATGTGCTTCTTTTCTAATTAAAAATTTTTTTTAAGAGATAAAAATATATTATGAAATTTGATATTTATATCTTAATTGTTATGTAACAGATTGTTCTGATCTAAAAAATGCTTTTTTTCTTTTAAATGTTATTTTTAATTTTTTTCATTTTTTTTCATGTAAAATTCTATTTTCATACTATGTGTATCTAGATAGTTACTACGTGGAGAAAATAAAGATATGACAAAGTTCTTTTAATTATTAATTATTACTCTTTAATTTTAAAATAAAATTAACTTCTTAAATTTCTTTTTAGCCGTTTCTTACAGTGAACTTGAAGATTTCTTGGATGACCTCACGTTTGAAGCATCTGAGTAAGTCATTATTGATTTTGATTTTTAAATAAAACTATATTAAATATTTTTTCATGGATACATTTTAAAAGAATTTTTTTTTTGATAATAGCTTTATTTAACCAAAGTTATAAAGAAGTTTAACTTTACATGAAAAGTAAAATTTCTCACGTTGAATTTGACATAAAAAACAATAAATATTGGTTCGCAATTTAAAATTATTATTTTTTTTAGTGATTCAGTATGAAGAATTTTAAAATTACATAAAATAAAATCTCACTATGTTAAATTATGCACAAAGAAAAATAATAAATGTTGGTTTACAATTTTATTTGAATTATTTTTTTCTGAGTTTCATCAATTCTTATTGCTTTGAAATACAGCGAGTAAAATAAATATTTTATATTAAATACACTCTGTCATGACTATTGTTAGAGTTTTAAACATTATATTCGTACATTTATACATTGACAAGTTTCGCTTTACTTTTAGGAGAAATTATTAACTAAAAAAATTAGCCAAAGTAAAACGTTAGGAATTTATTAAAAGAATATATTTATAGGTTTCAAATTTTAGTGAGCAATATATTCCAGTAGACTTTCAATTTGTAATAATAATAATAATAATAATAATAATAATAATAATAATAGTNATTAGCCAAAGTAAAACGTTAGGAATTTACTAAAATAATATATTTATAGGCTTTAAATTTTAGTGAGCAATATATTCCAATAGGCTTACAATTTGTAATAATAATAATAATAATAATAATAATAATAATAATAATAATTATTATTATTGTTAATAAAATAATGAAGAAAATAGTGAATTTTCTTTAGTGTTGTAGAACACCAAATATATGATATAAATGACAAGTATAAAACGTTCTATGTTTGAAAAGACGAAAATAAGACAAATTCTTTCGTATGAAGAGATTACTATGATCACTAGGCAATGAATGATCGCATTGTTACATTCTATTGATAGTTTTTATGATAACCATGTTATTTTATTTTGATATAACCATATTTTTTTCAAGGTATTACACATTTGATACTATTTTTCTTTTGAATTCTTTTTAATAGTGATACTCTCGAAGACATTAAGAAAGTCCTGAAAGAACGATACAATGAAATCCTGGAAAAAATCAAGGAGGCCATTGAAAAAGGCAAAGGACTCCGAGAGGATTACATCGAAAAGGTAAACATTTTCCTAATGAAACTCAAATTCCGAAAACTGTCTGGCAAATATAAGATGAGCCTCTTTCCTCGCTGGCAGCAACCTAGCTGAAAGCTTAACTCGTGATTGCCAGACTATATTTTGTTAGCAATTGCACAGTCAAAACATGTAAGTCCTGAATGAATTCAGCGAATTCAATGGAAAAATTTAACATGAACATTTTTCCCATTGAAATTTTAAATCCGAATTCTGTTTGGCAATCACAAAATGAGCTCTCATTCTCGCAGACAGCAACCTATTAGAGAGCTTACTTTGTGATTGCCAAACTATATTTTGTTTAAAAATGCAGAATTGGAATAGGTAAGTCCAGATTTAATTCAGCAAATTCAGTAGGAAAATTTAACATGAGCGTTTTCCCTCTTCAAATACTGTTTGGCAATCACAAGATGAGCCCCCATTCTCACTGATAGCATTCTGATTGAGAGCTCAACTCGTTATTGCCGAACTATATTTTATTTGCAATTGCGTAATCAGAATAAGTAGGTTTCGAATGAATACTTTTTGTTGTTCGAATTTCAGGCCAAGGACCTCGCTAAGAAGTTGAAAGACTTGAAAGTTGATGTCGGCGAAAAGGCTCGTGAACTTTTCGAACAACTGAAAGAGAAGGCAAAGGACTACTGGAAGAAGATCTTAGACAAACTACGTGACGTCAAAGAATCTGCTGATGAAAATGCTTCCTACGCTGATGAGTAAGTAATAAAGAGGTTTAAGACCGATTTCAGCAGAATTTTTAATCGTTATCGTTGACTTTTAAATAACGACAAATACTATAATTAATTGACGATCTTCCAATTTTAGAGATCCAAAGACTGAGCTGGGCAAGAAATTGAGAGAACACTTTGATGAGATTTTGGAAAAAGTGAAGGAGGCCCTTGAAAATGGCCGCATTGTCAAGGATGACTTGATTGAAAAAGTAAATAGTTTCATTTTTTTTCAAAATTGTATTTTCAAGACAGATTGGTTAAAGTTTTAAAAACATTGACTTGTACAATAGTCTAAAAATAATATCATTTTTTAAAAGGAATTTTGCAACCAACATTAAAATTCTTTTAGGTACGATAAGATTCTGATTTACTTAATTAAGGTGTGCCTAAGAATTAGGCACATTTATGTGCATGTGCAGTGATGGAATTATTAGTGAAAATGAGGGGCAGACTTCATCACTCATGCAGCAAAACATATTTAAAGATACTTATTTTGTATTAAATTATAAATATTGAACAATTTTTTTTAAAATTCTCAATGAAATAATTTCTTTTTATTTAAATCTATTTTATTGAAACTATATTTTCATAATCTTTTTTTTTAAATACTTTTTAAAACAATAACTCACATAATACAATAAAAATCTTTAGTTAATTTTAATTTACTTTTTTTTAAAAATTATTTTTATAAGAGAATATAATGGGCATGTAGTAATATAATGGGCATATAATAATGGGCAAATATAATAATGGGCAAATATAATAATGGGCTATAAGAGAATATAATGGGCAAATATAATGAGAATTTTATTATTTGTTCTATTGTAGTTGAAGGAAATCCGTCAAAAATTGAAGGACATGAGAGTTGATATTGGAAAGCATGCCCGAGAACTTCTTGACCAATTGAAAGAAAAAGCTAAAGATTACTGGAAGAAAATCTTAGACAAACTCAACATTTCAAAGCGATCTGTTGATGAATTTGATGTCCTCTTTGCCGAGTAAGTCCTGTCATTAATATTTTTACTCTACAAAATGAGAGTTTTTAAAGATTAGCAAATCTTCGCTCGATATGGCTATCGATTCAAAATTTGTAAAAGATCATAAGACCGTAAAGTAAAATTACACGTTTTAGAAAAAAACGCGCTTCTCTTCATCAGGCAGCTTGAAATTAAATGAAAGAAAAACGGATGGCAAGCGATACAGAATGAATGGAGAATAAAAGTGCTCAACAAAGTGAAGAGAGCCGAGGTGACTTAGGGGATAGAGTGTTCGCCTCCCTATGAAGTGTCCCAGGTTCGAATCCCAGCGGTGGTTGGTTGATACAAATTCTGCTTCCGGATCACACTGAGTACAGTGCCGATGTAACATATTCTCAGTGGTAGACATAACATAAGTTAGAATCCCTTTGCCGTCGGACTAACGTCGGGTAGGTTTCCATCAAAAATTCCTCCACGAAGGCTAGTTTATTGCAAAGCTTGACCCAAATTTCCCCTTGTTTTCTGGAATAGGTTAAAAATTTCTAGACTACAGTGTTCAACATTGATAGGTGTAAACTCAGAATTGGGTCGACTGTTCAACACTGGTCATAAATAAAATGAAACAAAGTAAAGAGAATAGGATGAGGAGCGAATCAAAAACAAAGAAACAACAGAAATAGAGCAAAACTGGCTGATGAAAGAAAGCTCGATCTTCTCGAAAAACATACTTTACTGGCCATTATGTTTCAAGAAGCTAAAAAAGATTTTTAAGTTTCAAACTAGTTTTAATTTTTAATATGGAATGAGAGAATTCATAGGAATATAAGAATAAAATTTATTTTTAATCTTTAGCGATGATGAACCCAAAACTGAACTCGGAAAGAAATTGAGAGAAAAGTTTGATGAAATTTTAGAAAAAGTGAAGGAAGCACTTGAAAACGGAAAGGGAGTAAAGGAAGACACCATCGAAAAGGTACAGACTCAAATTTTTTTTTTTAAAAGTATAGCAAATAATATAATAAAAGTACTTGTTACTAGAAGTATAATAAAAGTACTTGGATATAATGAAATCTAGATAAGCAATTACAAATACTTTAAGATTTTTAAAATCTTTCAGTTGAAGGAAATCCGAGAACAATTGAGGGACTTGAAAGTTGACATCGGCAAACACGCCAAGGAACTTCTTGAAAAACTGAAGGACAAAGTAAAAGAGTACTGGAAGAAGATTTTGGAAAAAATAAAGCCCGATGAAGCTTCTTTTGCTGAGTAAGCTAATTTAATTAATAGAGTGCGAAATAATTATTCTATTAAAAATTTGAAAACTTATTTAAAACAGATCAATTGCTTTAAAATGGCACATACACCGAAGAGCCATTACATTATGACCACCCTCCATCTATAACAATGGGCTCGCCCAGATTTTCATGGTTTCTCGCCCAGGAACAATGTTTTCATGGGGCACATTAGGACCCATAATCCTCATAGAACAATCCCTGACGTCTGTAAGCTACTTGAACATAGTTGCAGACCAGGTTCACCCATTCATGGCAACAGTTTTTCCTGCGGAGGATGGTGTTTACCAACAGGATAATGCACCATGTCATGAGGTTCGAATCGTCGAGGAACATTCCAGTGACTTTCAAGTCATGTCTTGGCCCCCAAATTCACCTGACCTTAATCCAATAGAGCATTTGCGGTCCTACTTGGAAAATCAAACTCGTGCTGCCACGCTACCCCCTCGCAATGTGAGGGAATTGTAGGAGGACCAGTTGGTGAGTGCTTGGTACCAGGTACCTCAAACTACCTATCAGCACCTTGTGGAATCAATGCCACGGCGGGTGCTAGCAGTTTTGAGGGCTAAATGTGGTCCTACATGTTATTAGCAGGTAGGTCATAATGTAATGGCTCTTCGGTGTATATTTACGTACATATAAAGTAAACATCATGTAAAAAACATTTTACAAGCTTTATGAAAAATGCACAAAAATTATTTAAAATATTAAAACAAACTAATATATAAATTTATAAACGTTTGTAAAAAGCATATATAGCATGCTTAGGATTAAAAAAAATTGTAGGATTCATATTCAGTTTTGTTTTTGACTTTTGTAGTGAAGACCCCAAGACTGAACTTGGAAAAAAATTGAAGGAGCACTTCGATGAAATTTTGGAGAAATTGAAGGAAGCACTTGAAAATGGAAAGGGAGTCAAGGAAGACACAATTTTAAAGGTAAGTTTTGTGAGATAATTATAATTGATAAGTAAATAAGGATTAATGTAAATCGGGACAAAAATTGAAAAATTCAATCTGCAATTTGTACCACGAAATTCCTTTCAGTTTACATATGCTCTCAATTATACAAACAGTAGCAAACTGAAAAATAATTTTTTTTAACCATTTTGTAATTTTTTTAGAATAAAAGTTATTCAGTTACTTGCAAACGTGAAATTTCAGCATTTGTGGACCATTTTAAAAATCTAAATTTTTTAAATCTGAATATTCGTCGAGTAGAGTGAATGATTTTTTTTTATGAATTTGATAAAGTTTATAAAAAAAGTTTTTGAAAAAATAAATAAATATATGTTTTTTATTTTTATTTTGCTCTTCTCAATATTTAAGGTACGTAAAAAAATCTCGTACATTATTTTATGTTAATCAAAAGAGTTATTAAAATATTAAATTACAACACAAAGAAAAATGAAAAGAATTGAAATGAACTTTTTTTAACAGTTGAAGGAAATCCGCCAAAAGCTGAAGGACTTGAAGATTGACCTCAGCAAACACGCAAAGGAATTGCTTGAGAAACTCAAGGACAAAATAAAGGACTACTGGCAAAAGATCTTGGAAAAGCTAAAGGACAAAGCTTCCTACGCTGAGTAAGTATTTAAAGAAAAAAATATGTCTTACTTTCCGACAGCAGACAATACTATATGAAATTTTTTTTCCATATCAGAATAATGATATGATTGGAATAATCAGCTTCTTTTCGTATTGGAATAATCAGTTTCTTTACTATCACTTAAGATGCATACAGTCTTTCAATCAGTCTTTTTATTCGTCAATAAGCCTCATATTCCATTCAGCACATTTGTCGAAAAATTGTATTAGATGAAGGTGACAAGTAATTTTTAAATTTTTTTCGTGCCGTTATGTCAAAAACGTAGCCAATAGTTTTTACAAAACGAAAAAAATATTGCTATCTTCAGTAACGATTAACTTTTGGTTCTTGCTATAGAACAGAAGAGCTATCTGCTTACTTTAAAAAGTTTTTCTCTCTTTATTTAATGTAAAACGAAAAAAAAGTACATTAGTAGTTTACAACTTAAACAACTTATTTGCATTTAAGCTGTAATTTTATACAACTGAAAAATACAGCTTAGCGCAAAACTAAGAAAACTGAATTAAGCTGTCTTTTGTCAAATTCTAATTTCTAAGAAATTGGAATTTGATAAAATACAGCTTAGTAGAGAATTTGTTTTTGTAAATGAACAAAATTTAAAATCTGTATTGTCACATCAGGATATAAGCTTATCAGTAACATATTATTTAAAAAAAAATCAGAACAATTTCAGTATAACTGCTGCATTATACAATGACTTTGCCTTAATTCCATAGAATAAACAACTATTTTTGGTCGCTTTCTGAGAAATATTTTCTATTTCAGTGATGAAGGTAGTGATTTGCAAAAACGATTTCAAGATCTCTTGGAGCAAATCAAGGATGCTTGGGAGAACCGAAAAACCATCGCAACCAACGTCATGACCAAAGTAAGTTCACCTTTTAATGTAAATTATTTGACACCAGATTTAAAATTATACTTGTTGTACCATATTTATTAAAAATGTTACTCTTTTACATAGTTGAAGGACCTCTACCAGGAAATGAAAGAGAAATCTATTCCTTTGGGAGATAAAGCCAAAGAACTCCTCGAACAATTGAAGGAGAAAGCAGGAGGTTTCTGGAAAAGAATTTTGGACAAATTCGGATCCCCTGAAGACTTTGAAATTCTCTTTGCTGACGAGTATGTTTCTATTTTTCGCCATTATTTTTTAAATATTATTCTGAAAATTATATGCATCTGTTAAATTTCTAAGCTAACAACAGATTCTTTAAACTTTTTATGCAAAAGCAAAATTAACAAGACAGTAAAACATGTTTTTAAATTTATTTTAATATTTAATATCATTTTAGTTTCATGCATATAAGAAAACAAAATTTCCCCCTAAACCTAAAAATTTAAAAAGAAGAAATTAATTAAAATTAGAAGAGTTATTTTTGTCCATAGCAAATAATACGACAGATTCTTTGTACGTTGTAAAAATTTTGCTTAATTCTCTGTATAATTATTTTTTTTCCATCCTCTATAGTGACGTGAAGGAAGACTTGAAGAAGAAGTTGAAGGAAAGATTTGACGAAATCTTAGAGAAAGTGAAGGAAGCTCTCGAAAATGGCAAAGGACTTCGTGAAGATACCCTCAAAAAAGTAAGCACTCAATGCTGATTAAATAAAAAGAAGACAATTCTATGAAGTTTTTATGCAAATAACTTTTATTAACAAATAAAATTAAATTTTTTTTAAAAACTATATATTTCAAATTTCTTAACAGTTGAAGGAAATCAGAGAAAAACTTAGGGACTTGAAGGTTGACCTTGGTGATAAAGCCAAAGAACTCATTGAGAAATTGAAGGAGAAGGCTAAGGACTACTGGCAGAAGATCTTGGACAGACTTGGACTGAAGGAATCAGTTTCCTTTGCTGAGTAAGTTTATTTTCGATCTGTCATGAGCTGCTTCCTTATAGTCTCTCAAAATATTAAAAAAATTTACGTAATATAGTGAGCATATTTCTAACATGGCTTTACAGAGCTAACAGAATTTATATGGGTTGTAATCTATATGCAAAAAACTATAGTTTTCTTACTTTTATATTATTTTTTAAATTGCAATCTTAAAGCAGAAATAAGACAATAATCGTTATTAGTTTATTAAAATGAGGTTAATTTTAATTAAAACAATTCACTTTATAAGCTTTTTTTAGTTTGCATTGGTTTTTAGCCCATTGAAAATTTTTTTATACACTCGCATACTAAATTAGAAGTTTAGAATTATAAAACGTTATAGAACTTTATCAACTATTTTCTTACTTTGAACTTAAAAATATAAATATTTTACTATTGAACATGGTTAACAGCTGAATATAAGTTAAAAAACGCATGTTTCTTTTAATAGTGATGACATCCAGACTGAATGAGGAAATAAATTAAAGGAACGATTTGATAAATATTTTCTAACATTACGAACTATTTTCTTACGTTTAACTTATTGATATAAAACTCTTACAGTCGAATATGGTAAATGTTTTAAAAACTTGTTTACTTTTTTAAATAGTGATGACGTGAAGACTGAATTGGGAAAGAAACTGAAGGAACGATTTGATCAGATCTTGGAAAAACTGAAGGAGGCTGTCGAAAATGGCAAAGGAGTCAGAGAGGACACTATCAAGAAGGTAAAATTTACTTTCTAATATCACTGATCTGTTCTAAAAAGACTGTTCTAAAAGGTTAGCAATGTAGTTAATTGAATTTGCTCATGAATGATTTTGTTGTTTCTACATAGCTGAAGGAAATCAGAGAAAAACTTAGAGACTTGAAGGTTGACCTTGGTGATAAAGCCAAAGAACTCATTGAGAAATTGAAGGAGAAGGCTAAGGACTACTGGCAGAAGATCTTGGACAGACTTCAATTGAAAGATGAGAAACGAGATGTTGTCTATTATGCCGAGTAAGATATCATAAACATTAATTAAGGAATTGATTAAAGAATGTTTATAAAAAATGAATGCTTTAATTAAAAGAAACATATCTACTGAAATAGTTGTAGAAGTTATTTTAAAAATGTAAAATATCTTTAATTGCAAAAAATTATTCATATTCCATCCTGAAAATTTTTCTCTGGTGTTTCGGAAAAAAATAGTTCATTGTTTACGTTTGTACTTTTCTGTTATTAAACAACTGAGAAGAGTTTGATAAAAATAATTTTTTTCTTTCTCATCTGGAGCAAAAATTTCCTCTAAAAATTATATAGCGTTTTCTTAAGAGAGGCAACATTACGTAATCTCGATACATATTTTGTGTATTTCGTCTTCAAAATTTAGATGATAAAATAAAATGATTTTCGTTGGTTTTCCGTGAGCTGTAAAAAATTCCGGATCAAACTGCGGTAAAAAGGATCGGCAGTCAGAGTACCGTATAATCCATTTTTACCAGAGCATGTTAAGGAAAAAAAAAAGTCTGATGTACCGTACAGTAATAATTACCGTAAAACCACTTGAATACTCTAATGAAATAAATAATACTGTAAAATTTACGGTACAGCAGTTTAAGGTAAACATTTATCTTACTGTAAAATAGGTTTTAAGGATGATACACCCTAAACTGCTGGTACTTTATTTCGTATTTTGTTCCTGAAATTTTTGCAGTACGGAGGGTTGAACGTAAAAATCTAAAAATTCTTTTAATAAGTGGAAGACTGAATAAAAACTGACGAAAATTAATTAAAATTAATTTAAAAAAGTTTATGTAGAGTATTTTAAAATAAATTTAGTACTTTTAAAGAACTCTTCATTGATTATAATGATTTTATTAAAATAATAATAACCAAATTCTCAACTCATGATTCGGACAAAAAATGTGGAAAGTGAATTTAGTCCATCATGTCTACAATAATCGTTTTCATTTACTCAAGAAATTGTGTAGACAAAACGTGAAAAGAAATAAACAAATAGCTTGCGTTGCTAATTCTTGGATTATCAGTGTTGCATACTTAACTTGCTTCTCCTATCACAATTGTTTCTCTAGCATAATGTAAAATAATATTCGTAGTAGTAATTTGTAGTAATAATAATTCATGACATAAATATAAAATTAATTAAAACTAGTTTTATTAATGTTAGCAACAAAATGACCGCAAGTTTGCTTATATTGCAGTGATGACGATGATGTCACCACCGAGTTGAAAAAGAAGTTGAAGGAACGTTTTGATCAACTCATGCAAAAGCTCAAGGAAGCCGTTGAAAAGGGTAAACTCGTCAGGGAAGACACCATTAAGAAGGTATTAATGCTTATTTTTCAACTTTTACATTAACAGTACAGTAACGTAATAATTTCTCTTATTACGTGCAAAAAATAGTTTGATGATAATTTTGAAACATGTGTGATGAGCATTAATAAGACATAAGATACTTAAGGTCAATATATCAACTGATGATATGAATAAGATTTTAGATAATTGAAGTAAGGATATCAAAAGTAATTATAAATTAAGGCATTAACTATTTAAAGAAAGGTTAACAAATGGTGTGATTAATTATGATATTAGATACTTAAGCGAATACTTTATAAACTGTATTATGAACAAAAACATTAGATCTTTAAAATAAGAATATCAAACGGTGTTAAAAACTACGAAAAAAACTATGAAGAAAATAAGGAGTGTACACAGTAAAAAAATTCGGATCAAATTAAAATGAAAAGTATTGGCTCTCAAGATCTTTTACCGCAAAATCCATTTTTACTGGATCACGTTCAAAATGTAATCGACCGTTAATTTTACAGTAATAATTACCTAAAAATCACTGAATCACTATGGTAAAAGTGCAAGGTAAATTTACGGTATAATGGATTTTACGGATGATGTACCCTAATGCCAGTACTTCGTGCCGTAGTTAAATCCGGATTTTTTTACGATGTACCTCGGCCTACAGGGATTTTGACTTTTTTTTTAAGAAGGGAAACTTTTTGAGCTGAAAATTTTATATTTGTGAACTTTATTTATAAAAGTAAAAAATTATATTAAAGCTGTATTAGAAAATAAAATATTT